AGTTCTGTCAAGATTTGCTTGGACGTCAGAATGTTGACTTTGACCGGGTTTCAGGTATGACGGCATGCTAGCATTGAGGCCAGAGGCTTCGAGAACTGGTAGGACATCTCTAAAACCTCGGTCAACGACAACGTTGTCGTCTGGTTGTAGCCAAGTAACTAGCTTGTCCATGACTTTTTTTGTAATTGTAGCATCATTTTCGCTGCCAGTGAATGGTCCTACTGTGTCCAGAATGTAGCCATCTGGTAAGGCGATGCTCATGAATTTGAGATAGTTTCTCTTCTTCTGGCCACAGTAGGACATTCTCTGGAGCTTGTGGTCGGAGCTTTTCTGGATATAAATATAGGTGCCATCTAATATGGCAGTGGCTTTATCTCCAAAAAATGCTTCTGAAAAGACAGTATTGTGCCCGAGCAACTGTTCTCTTGTCAAGTGATCCGGACCTAGAAATTGTGGGACTATCGATGTGTCTAATGCCTGTACTATGGAGTGGAAAGTTTTGGACACACTTGACTTGGAAATTCCAAAAAGAGAAGAACACTGACTCCAGGAAATGTCGGTTTTCAGTTTTACCCAGAACAGTAATAGAGCATCGTGTGTAGTCTTGGTATATATACCAGATGAAAGATATGGGGAACAGTGCGAGTGGATTTCGAGGAACTGATCTTTGGACCAACCTGTCCAGGCCATGCATGCCGAGTCATCAAGAGAAGAAAAGCTTATTGTAAACGCAGACTGGTTCTGTGAAAGGACGTGCGACACCTCTAGGAGGTCATTAATGATTTCGGACGATTTTGATGGTAACTGAGATTCCAAGGAACCTCTACCATCAAGGACAACCTCTGTAGACGGATCTAAGTCGTTACCAATAAGGTGAATGGAGCAGACGCGGGATGAGGTGGGACACCACAGTTTGTGTGAATAGATCAGGTGATGTCTTGCACGTTTTGGTAAGACTGATGATTTTGTTCCATTTCTTGCAAAGGTAACAAGACAGAGACAGCATTTTTTGTGTGAAGATGATCCATTCAAAAGATCATGAAGGGTCAGCAACGGCAGGATATGGGACGGGGAGTCGTCTTCTTCCTCTATTTCCTGGTTCTGCTCGGGTTCAGGTTCAGGCTGATTTTTGTTCCGAAGATACTTCATGTAGCACTTCTGGCAAATAAGTGCTTGTTCCTTTGCTGACATCAATCCTTGTTGCACCAGCGTATCTAGGAGCCATTTATATTGTGGACTATTTACATTGCGTGCACTTCTGTTCTTATTGCCACTACGTTTCTTGAAGTATACTTGACACCCTTCTCCAACACATTTACCCTCCATCTTGAAACAATAACGATTGGTTTATGAAGCGTCGATAAAGTAACAAAATAGCAAGCCACCGATGATTGCTGTAAACAGCTAATACTTAGTAGTTTGGTACAATTATGCGAAAATGTGTGATAAATAACGAACAACTAATTACACAAAATAACAAGACAATATAATAAATCACATTCAATACCTCCAAGAAGCGCAGAATTGATTGATTACTTAGAACAAAATAAAGTATTTCATATGGATAATCTATCTATTCGATGTGGCGTGGTCGGCAGGCACAAAGAAAGTGAGACAAGTCAGGGTCCCAACCCTGACAGAGCCACAACGCTTTGGAGATGGGACAATAAAACAAGGAAAGTGAGACAAGAATAGCTAGCGTCGAGTCAATGATTCCGTAAACGTATAGACAAAGACAAGAAGATACGGATAAATGTACAAGGCCACACGATCAGAAAATTCAGAAGAGGACAACTTGAGATAGAACAGTATTCATGTATCAGGGTGTCCTCAGTGTAAATCTTTATATCGATACTGTTTATTTAGTCGTTACACATCATAAAACTGTCATGAAAATATCCGCTCTGATATTCAATATAAAAGTTTGTATATAATAAGCTATATAATAGGGTTTCAGACAAGGTTGTTACTCATTTCCCCTTTTCTTTCAATTTACAACCACATTCAGGCGGCGATATGAGAACGTTCCACCACATGGAATTAGCTGATTTTTGGTACACATATGAAACAAGTAAAGCTCTATCCGATTTTCTGATGGAAATTTGCATCCAAAACTATATAACGGGAGAAAATTGCAATTTTATGGCATTTTTCTTCATAATTGTGTCTCTGCAAGTGCATTTTCATCCGAAAATATTTTTTTTTATGTTTTATGAATAAACACGATGTTTTGGAAATATTTATCAAAAGAAATTTATACTATGTTGCGAATTACAATTTCGAGATAACCTTCTTTTATTTACGAACTTATGTCTTTGATGCTGAAATTGACAACTTTATAAAAATACATTTTCACTGAAATTATGAAATCTGGGTGTCGGAAAGGTGTAAAATTATTCTTCGGAAAAGAAAAAAACAGTAGTTGAGCTAGATAAGAAATTATACGGGGGCAGGCTCCTATGGAGAATTAACATTACTGGAAACAGGCCCTTTACTTCCACTTCACCCAAGGATGCTTTAGACCAAATATGGACATAATCCTGTCATTCCTACAGAAGAAAAAGGATTTTAAACCTTTTTTTTCTATCTTCCCTATTTGGCCCCGCCCCTCTGCCCCAGGGGGTTAAAACCCACAGATTATACAAAATAGGTTCCCCTTCACCCAAGGGTGTTTCGTTCCAAATTTGGATAAAATCCTGTCATTTCTACAAAAGAAGGGTTTTGAAGAATTTGCTGTTTTTCCTTTTCGGCCCCGCCCCTCTGCCCCCAGGGGTCAGACCCAACGTTTATAAAAAAATTGAGTCCACTTCACAAAAGGATGCTTTAGACCAAATATGGACAAAATCCTGTCATTCCTACAGAAGATCAAACAGAAGAATTTTAAAGAATTTGCTAAATTACCCCTATTGGGCCCCACCCATCCGGCCCCAGGGGGGTCAGACTCACCATTTATACAAAGTTGATTTCCCTTCCCTAAAGGATGCTTTTGTTCTAATTTGGTCAAAATATCTTCATCTCAATGGAAGAAAAAGGATATCAAAGCTATATATTCCTCTTTCTACCACAATACGCTGTGTAAACACACAATCTGTTAGATAAATATGAGTTATATACCACACGTGGTAAATGACCTTCAAGAGTTTTGATTGGTCGAGAAGGTGTACTTTGATCAGGACGACTTTTTGCCACATGCACATCCGACAAATGTTGGTGACTTTGTGAGGTTATGCGGAAAAGGGGATTATTAAGGCAATATTAAAAGAAGATGATACTTAAGATTTGATCGCTAGTTTCAGGCAAAATTGCTACAGACGCTCGATATCGTTTTGACATCACACTGTCGCGTGTCCAGGTCGTGGTTAATTTATATAAATTAATGCAATACTGATACTCTCAATAATTAAAGTCATTCATCTTTTATATTTTTTCATGAAGCTGTTGCCGAACATTAATTTTGACAATTTTTTAATTTGTAAAAGTCATTTTTGAATATTAATGAGCGACTTTTTACATATGGGTCAATCACATGTGTGTTTGTTATTTCCAACTGATCATGAGATTGTGGTAGAAACAGATCACAGACTCGTGGTTGTTGAGTATGGTATGTATTTCACCCTCGTTAGTCAATTTTCAAAAGTTACAGAAAGACACTCGCTCAAGCTCGTGGCCTTTGTAACTTTTAAAAATTAACTAACGAGAGTGAAATTAATACCATATTCAACAACCACAGTTGTGTAAACTCTATATATCCGGTATTGGGCCCCACCTCTCTGCCCCCAGTGGGGGGTGTCAGGCCCACCGTTCATACAATATTGGTTGCCGGGGACTTTACCGAAGGATGCTTCGTACCAAAATTTGACCAAATCTCGTCATTCCGACAGCAGAAGAAGGATTTTGATAAATTTGCTATGTTTCCCCTATTGGGCACCACATTCACTGTTTAACAAAATCGAGTCCCTTTTGCCCATGGATGTTCCAGGCCAAACTGGGATGAAATCCTTAAATCCCTATCGTAGAAGGATTTTTAAGGTTTTACCTCTTTTTCCCCTATTTGGCCCTGCTCCTCAGCCCCCAGGGGGGCCACACAAAGTTTATACAAAATTGAGTCCCCTTTGCACAAGGATGCTCCAGACTAAATTGGGATCAAATCCCTTAATCTCTACGGTACAAAAGGATTTTAAAGGTTTTACCTCTATTTGGCCCCACCCCTCTACCCCCAGGGGGAGGGGCCACACCAACCGTTTATACAAAATTGAGTCCCTTTGGCCCCAGGATGCTTCACACTAAATAACGATAAAATCCCTTCCTACAGTAGAAGGATTTTAAAGGTTTTACATCTTTTTCCCCTATTCGGCCCACCCCTCTGTCACCAGGGGGGCACACCCACTGTTTACACAAAATAGAGTCCCCTTGATCTAAGGATGCTCAAGACCAAATTTAGTCAAAATCTATTCCGTTCAGGACTAGTAGTGTTTTAAGGAAAAGTTGACGACGGACGCTGCGGTATGCACAAGCTCACTTTGGTCCTTCCGACCAAATGAGCTACCAATAAAAAATCCTCAATCCCTACGGTAGATTTTAAAGATTTTACCTCTATTTCCCCTATTGGGCCTCGCCCCACCGTTTATACAAAATTGAGTCCCCCTTGGCCCAATGATGCTCCAGACCAAATTTAGACAAAATCTGTTTGGCCGTTCAGGATTAGTAGGGTTTTCAAGGAAAAAGTTGACAGACGGACGACACAGTATGGCACAAGCTCACCATGGTCCTTCCGACCAGGTGAGCTAAAAATGAAGGAGTTTCCATACCTTCTGCAATCTGCGATGTTAGGCACTAGTCTGATGCTCATGACTAGTAAATTTAAGTCTGGACTAGTACCGGACCATATACATATTTTGACCAATCAAATAGACATTTATCAGCAATGAGAAAATACCTGCAGCTAAGCTGTAATTGAGGATAGCTAAATATTAACTACTTCACAAACAAGAAAAGTCTACTTTCTCCATCAAGGGATTTTTAATTGACCGACGTACACTATCACAAATTTGCATTTTATTCTTTCTCGCCTGGCTTGGCAATCTGTTTTGTTCCTCGCAGACGACCAGTACGACGAGCGGCAATAAGACCGACCTGAAAACAGAGAAAAGCGGTGTTATTGACCTCAGAAGCATGATATCATGACTATTTCTTTTGAACATAGTCAGGCAACTTATTCCACGACTACATAATATACAATATCTTTTGATTGATCATAATTGGACTTGACAAGACATAGACAATCCTTGTGTACCAACCATCTTCCTTGTGGGACAAGTGCAAAATTACATCAGATGTTAGATAGTTACTCCTATAACATAAGATATCATTTTGCCGACTGCAGCCTCTTATTTACGAAACACTAATTCTTTGATGCAGATTCCGCTCGAAATCCGGGCGGAACAAAATCGGCTTAACAAAACGAAATGATACAGAGTTTGCTTGTATTCCACTTGTAGAACATTACATGTAATCCATTTTTGTAGTAACCACAAAATCATGGCAAATGTTGACTGCTTAACTTCGAAAGAGGAAAAACTCATTATTTATGTATATTTACACAAAATTCTTCTCATTTAATCATGGATTTATGGAAAGGAATATTTATTGGACCCTGTTGAACATTAAAATGTATGTAAACACGATATACTTTTTCTAACACCTAACTTTGAACATTTGATTGTCAGCATCGGGAAAATCAGCTATGGGCAGTTAGAGGTAACACGGCGTCAGTCAAAAGTATCTCCCCGTGTAAAACCCCTTACATTGTTGGAGTAGTAAGAAAGTATGCTTCAACACAAAATCTCATGATGGATAAAAAAAATTGTCAAAAATCCTTTTGAAATACAGAAATCTTTCCGCCTCCATTCTGTAAATATGGTTAACGAACAAACAAACTGTACCTTTCTACCCGCTGAAGTGTCTCGTCTGACTGTGGATGCTTTACCAATATGCTGATGGTTACCACCTCCGTGAGGATGTTCAACTGGCTGTAAACAAAAATATTTTTGTATTAGTAAAATTTTCCACAGAAATTTGTTGAACTTATATTTTTCTTTAAATACTGAAAGATAGAATTTCCTAGAAACAAAGAAAGTCTGACCCGTATCAAATTATTTTCTAATGGTTTTAGTGAATTTAAACAAATCAATTTTTTCTTCAAGTGGCTTCTCGCATATTCACCATGCCTTAAAATGGTTAGATCATGATATTAGCTATTACTTTTGAGACCATGTTGTGTGCTCTACAATGTTAAGAAAAAAATATCATAAATTGAAAAAAAAACACCATATCAACAAACTCTTCCTTCTTAGCATTACTGGGTCTCTTCGTAGCATTATAGCGACCAACTTACGTTCATAGCCACACCACGAACTTTAGGCCAGCAGTTCCTCTTAACCTTGTATTTGAAGTAGGCACGGCCAGCCTTCAACATGGGTTTGTCAATCCTTCCACCACCAGCAACGATACCTACACAACAATGCATGGGATAATAAATTACAGTAAATAACAAAATTACTTTTATATCCAAGAAAAGTGTTCAGTTATATCCAGAAAAGATAACTTTTCATTATTTCATTTCTTGCTTTACAAACTTGACATTTCAATTGCAATTGCAGTGAAATACTGGTACCATGGTTCTTTTTGAAAACAGTTCACCATTGGCTTGGCTAATTGAAAAGATAATTCCATTTAACAAGTTTGTTACAAGTTATAACCAAGACCCTTTTACTTACCAACCATGGCTCTGTTGGCTGACGGGATGACCTTCTTTGAGCCAGATGGCAGTTTTACACGGCTTTTCTTGGTATCGGGGTTATGGGAGATAACTGTGGCGTAGTTTCCTGAGGCACGGGCCAGTTTGCCACGGTCACCTGCCTTTTCTTCAAGACAACATACGATGGTTCCTTCGGGCATGACTCCAACTGGCAAAATGTTTCCAATTTGCAGGGATGCTACAATGTAATGTATGAAGGATTTACAACTCGTACGAAATGACTATCATAATACCAGACATAGGTTCTGAAATGAGAATATGGGGTTTCATCGATTATTGATCAATGCTCAGATTTTTAAAATAGTTCACATCAATAACATTCAGGTCAAAGTGAAGAAATTTTAATTCATCATTGCATTGACTGTTCACAAGAAGATCGAACTTATCATGGAATGTGTCATGACAATATTGAAGGCACATGTTCAGCTAGTTGATAGGCTTTGAGTATAAAACAAACTGAACATGGCTAGGCCAATACCTGTCCTTTGAAGATCAGAGGAGTGACACACAAATTCAAAGGCAGATAAGTCTATTATGCGCAGCTGCCACAGGATTCATTCATGTACATCAAAAGATCAAATACTCCAGTGGTGTGAAAATCCCAAGTGAAAGTAACCCCTGGGATTTCATGGATGTGTATCTAACATAGCTGAAAATCCATGTTTCTTGTCTGCAATAACATTTGCTTTTGAATCTTAAAACATATTTTTCCTTCATTTATCATATCCTTTTTTCTGTGTTGTTGTATGTCTAACTACATCAGGATGAGCGAGTAAACAAAATCTTAGCTACTGTTATATTTAAGTTTTACTTCACACATAAACAATGTATATTGTTTGTGTATAAACTAAAACTTGGATACAACATATTTTCAAACTGATTATAGAAGAAAATCTTACCAGCTGTGTCATAGCTTTATTTTTTAAAGAGTATAAATGTTAACGTAAAAATTGGTAATTCCATCCAGTATATCGTCAGTAAATCAGTCTCAACATAGAAATAGTTACCGGTAATGAAATGTGCAGTAATTCATATGCTGCATAATAAAACATATCCAATAATAATTACCCTTCTTTCCACAGTACACAAACTGTCCAGTGTACATGCCTTCGGCAGCTACGAAGGTCTCGGTCCTGTGTCGGTACTTGTAGGGATCACGGAATGCTACCTTGGCAAGAGGTGCACCTCTGCCTGGGTCATGGATGATGTCCTGTGAACATGAAATCAAAACATGTCTAGGGATAAACAGAATGCACAAGTATACAAGTAAATATTGAATTCTGCAATGCCACATGCTGCCGTAAACAAACCAACATGGCATGTACTGGCTACACTTTACAAGCTGCAAAAGATTTCTTGAATAGTTAACATTTAATCCGGCTTTAAATGGTTCAACATTCAATAAGAAAGATAATATGACACAAATCCACCTAAAAACTTACTCTGATTACACCCTTGATGTATCCATGACGTTCAGCAAAATCAACAGGTCGAAGAGCGGCCTTCCCTTTCCTGGTTCTTGTATGGGCCTTGAAAATGCCCCCAGGACCCTTTCTCTGGGATCTGATAACACGGCCCATTGTGCTCTGTAAACCAAATACATCAGAATAATGGACGATCCAAATGGAGTTTGTCACAAAGTTTCCCAAAAAATCTAAAGAGGATGAACAGTTGAGGGTACATGTACATATTACAGGACATTCCATCAAATCCCCAGTAGAGTTTAATCTGCTTTAGTAATGACCCCTATAAAAAATGATTTTGGATAATGATACATTGCTTTTTCATAACATGTATTTTCCTCAAGACATAGAATATGCTAAATCTGAATGGATCAGTTTTGTTGTTCTTCTGCATGTGTTGATTGATAGTTTTGGGAAAGATCACAGATGATGGACACCCTTATATATTGTGTTTATACTATCTATAATACTGTTATAGTACGTAATATAATTTATAAACATCATATTAGCGTGTCCAGCACCAGCGTGAAGGTTTCCTTGTATAAAAACACGTTTCTGTAGAAAAAAATGTGCATTCGTCATGTTCCACAGGTAATAGACAACATATCCTATGCCTATATTCTAATATGTAATTACATATTAGAATATAGGCATAGGATATGTTGTGTCTATTACCTGTGCATACACATATGTTTTTAATTGATATATCATTTTATGTAACATCAACGTCGATTAACTCACATTATTTCTATGTTTAACTTAAGTCTTAGATCTCCGGTTATCCTAGTCAAAATGAAATGCAGCTTATGAGCTTGCGTGTCAAAATACTGCGGACAAAATACCGAGTCAATAATGAAAAGGTCCAGTTTAAATCAATAGTAACCCTGCCTTTTTTTGACAGAAATGAAAGCACAAATGAACATGTGGAGATGTCAATATATTAACTAACTTCAAGAAAACCTGTGTTATTGTGATACAAGCGGTATTTGAGAAGACATCTGATAATTTATGTACTTTTCATTCGCAAATCGTTTATTCATTACATCAAAATTATGTTATTTCTGTTGTTAAATGACTAAATCATAAAATAAATGGATGTTTTTCATTCCACAAAGTCGGATGGCGGAAATTAAAGCGGATTGAAAATTCGGTCCACATTTGCCACTCACTCTATAATGGCCGATTTCCGGAAGAGGCCGACCGGTTGTTGGGAAAGGGGGGAAGTTGATAAATATTTACATAAATTTGGAACAGTTAATGAAATATCACAATTTTGTGAAATATCACAATTTTGTTTATTAATTCTTTTGAATTGCATTGTTGCGTGAAAAAAATGTAATATTATAAACAACCGGCATTGTCGTATATTTTATAGCAGTTTCGTTAACGACGTCTATAGGCTGTTCCATAAATATTAAATACCTGATTCTCTATTTTGGATAATGTATGTGGACGCATTTAAATTATCCGACAACTTCCTTCTCATAAAAATAATAAATCTACTCAAAATATAGAATCAATGAATATTGAGTTAGCTTATTATTTATATTAAATGTAACCTATCTGACTTCTTCTGAGATTTATGAAGTACACTTTAACATTTTATTCATCTAAAACTGAAATTATGCTGTATATTCACCGAAAGATAAAAGTCTATGTTCATGTGATCGTAATAAATGCATATCAAAGTGATTTTTCTTCAATCAATTTATCCTAAAATGTGTTAAAAGCTGAAAAACACGACGAACAATCGAAGTGTCGCTCCATCACGTGATCACTGCATGTCTATTTATATCGGGCCTTTTGTGAGACTGTGGCCTAACCATCAAACAAGCAGCCGTCGAAAAAGTGTCATCCGAAATTATAATATGACAAATGTTCCAACTCAAAATGTGCAGGGTCTAGAACAGCAAGTAAGTTTGGTTGTGAAGTTAATTGCCTATTTTCCTGTGATTTCATGACCATGTAACGGTCTTGCGGAGAAGGAATTGAAAATTTCTGAACGAGCAACGTGCTCGTATCGTTCGGGTTTCAACAAAATGGCGACCGGCATATTCAGAATGTTGGTTGTGCAATTATGATTATAGTGTGTTTTTCGTTTTGTAATGATGTGTGGATAGTTTCTCATTTTCTAGAATTTCGTTCAATGGATAGGTCATAACCTGCGTTCAAAATGTTTATATTTTATCTTGATTGGAATGGTTCAACCCCCCCGCTCTCTCCACCCACAGCTTAATATACCACATGGCCCATAATGCTCTTTCCCAGCTGATTCATGTGTTTGCTTAGATTTCTGTCGATCGGTGGAAGCTCTTTTGAAAAAAAATGCACACATTTCCTTAGTGAAAGAAATGAATTTGTGAGAGAAAAAAAATGTTATTCGAAATTAAACTATGAGATTTTGAAAGATTGCCCAGGTCATGAGCTATTGGAAAGTGTTGCAACTTCGGCGGGGTATACAATTTCAGCAACCTTTGTAGCTGTTAATATTTCTAAATCAAAATACGAGTTTTTTTTTCTTTTTTCTTTTTATTGAACATTTCATAAGTAAAGTAGCTCAACTTGAATTTTTCTCCAGGTTAAAACTTATAAAATAAAAGAGATATAAAACTTGACTTCAACAGTAAGTCCTCCCGGTGTGTCATAACCAAGACTTTACTAACCCCCATATCCAGGGGTCGACACTTACACTAGTCCGCCTAACCTAACTGATCATTTGGACTTGTGAATTATAAAATAAGAATATTCCTTTTTTGAATTTAGAAAACTGCTTAAAATAAAATATATTGCAAGATAATTGTTAAAATGTTTCTAAAACTTCACCAAATATTTTTATGGCAGTAGTTATTTTAAGTCCACTACAGTCAATTACTTTTGATGTTTCGTGCTGTAGATCGTGATGTTTCCATATCAGGAAGTCTTGGACTAGTTACGTTGACGAAGGGCTAGTAAATAATCTATCCAAAACTTTTAGGTACTGTTTTGTTATGTGTGGCTAATACAGTCTCATTCGAAGTTTTTTCTATGTCGTCGGGGGTCAATCCTTAGGGTTAACGATAAGATGGCCCACAGTCAGTCTAGTAAACATCATGAGTGTTTTTGTCAGACACAAAAATTGGCAGGGGCTGGAGGAATCGAGCATGATGATGGATGATGTTTTTGAACCTTTATATCGCATGTGGTCAAAATCAATTTCAGGAGAGCATTTGTACCTTAGGCTCATGCTGACCCCTGCTGTCGTTGTGCCTTCAGCGGCAATTTGTACGCACCATTTTTGTTGTTAATGCATTATTTGCAAACTTGCACGAGACCTTCTTCCTAATGAATGTTTTCTACTACAGTTTGCTGGGATAGACATCAACGCAAGTCGCCCCTACAGTGCTAACAGGGGAGACAACTTCAGTCGTAAGTGAATCATCTTCCTAGATTTTGTTTTTGTTTGGTTGCTGTATTTATAATTTTCTATGATCTGGTGGAAATGTGTTTGCCAAGATATCAATACAGTTTAGTAAATTTGAGTGTCGGGAGTGTGGTGTGAAATTCCTCGCTCTGAATCCTTTATTTCCCCTTACTTTCACTTATAGGGATTTTATTTTTGTTTGTTGAAGAATGATTTGCTATATTTAGGCAAAATGTGAAATTTTGATGATCCTTTTATTATGGAGTAAATTAAGCAAGTTTTTTAGAATTGAAAGAAAATGGTCAACATGGCCTAAGGAATGGTGTTAAAAATATACCCCTCAAAAAAACTGCAGTAATATTAAATAATAAATATTTGTAATGTACTGGCAGCATTTTTCTCTTGTCGAGAAAAATATCATGTTTTAGAGAAAGAAAAATTGTGTTAGTAAATTTAAGCTATATGAAAAAAAGAATCACTTCATTTGATGTGATTTCATATCTATAGAAGAGATCTAAAAAAAACTGCGTGGTGTGGATACTTTCACTTTGAAGGAAGCTATATTAATACTTAACAATTAAACAACGTCAAATTCTACTGTGGGCTTAGTTTTTTTTACAGCAGTTTAAGATGGCACATGTGTATAATACACAGGAACTAAAGTTTTCAATTTTGTAACCAGTCTTAATTGAATAAATCAATGACTACTTTAAATTCGGTTACTTCCAGGATGAGCCCTGACATCAAAAAAGACAAACAAATGTCATTGAATAATTGCCCAAGAAATCTATAAGTAACCAATGTAGTTATATGATATTATTACAAAACATTGGAATATGTCTTTATGAAGATTTAACTCGTTCACCCCTACATTTATAAACTTGACTTGCCCAGTCTTTGATATGGCAGGGTTCAAATGTGACTGGAGGTGAATGGTAGGGGTGTCACAATACGCCAAAAGTGTATCACGATATCATGCAATAAAGAATGAATATATTGCGATACATATCCCGATATATTGTCATAGGAAAGATGTGCTTGATTTTATTATAAGTTGTCAGAATATTATCAAACTTAATCATATGCAATATGGATCACATAGATTTAATTTTTTTCGTCGAACCAACCATCGATTACAATTTTTTTACCAATATTCCCATCTTATTAAAAGTCTGTTTTATGCTTATTGGCATATCTGTTAGAATTTTTAGTAATTTGCAAAGTTAAAACACAAAGCAGAATGAGATGCATAAAAATAAACTTTTATAAAAAAAAAAAATGCGATACAACAATATTTCAACTCTGTATTGTGGTACAATACCATATACCAGTGTATTGCAATATACCTGTTTTCCAATATATTGTGACAGCCCTAGTGAATGGATAACATAGATATCCTCAACCTCCCTCTTGGTCGACTATGGATGAATGATACAATATACTGAAGTTAATTATAAAAACCATGTTCAACAAGTTCTTATTTGAAGATCGGTTCGTTCATCTGTTATGAACTTAAGATAGCGATTACATTTTGAATGTATGGTGTATGCAAGAACAGGGTGATATTTTGACACTGTTTATTGGGATTAAAAGCAATAATTGAATATCACATCTTTGTGGTATAATCACACCTTTTGTGATTTGTAGATGGTGGACCAAAATATCGACCTAACAACGTAAACCCCAGATTTCAGGAGCAAACATTTTACCATCAAGGTGTTGTATTAGCTCGCCACTTAAAGATACTATGTCTGAACCGGAACAAGTATTTTACTGGGTGTTGTAAAAATTTGTCATAGGTTAGAACGTTAACTGAGGCAGTAGGTTTCTTAATGAATCTAGATCAGCAGGTTTGGTATAAATCATTTTTCTATTGAATTTTGTAATATCGTATTTAATAATTTGTCTTCTGTTTTTAGAGACAGAATTCATTGATCAATTTTGAAGATCGTTTTGTAAACTTAGGTACATTTTGGACAGTTGCAGTGTGTGTCTGCCTTTTTTTTCCGACTGAATTCTGTATCATCCTGATATGAACTGCCTGTTTAGTGTATGTACTGTCCTTTATATTCGTCGGATCTCCATTTTCAGATCTGTGTGGTATTGCCGTAGTTCCTGGTATGAAGACATTTTTCCAACAGGAATTTAATATTGCAAACTTGACCTCTTTGTTTGAAAGTGCCTTTTTTATTTAGTTACATGGTATCTGTACATAATCTGTCCTTTTTGGTTTCCTCGATACATTTGATCTTGGGCCTATAATTAGTGCTATGGCAAGATTTTTGCATTTTTGCTTATTTTACCTGACCTGTTTTAGATCTGAAAGTTCATTCAAAGCAACAATTTTATTAAGCTCTCAGCCAGTTCTATCTTCTTGATACTTTTCTTTTTCTTTCAAATCCAGTATTATGTTTTCAAGTTCCTTTCAACACGGGCAGTTTGAGTCGAACAACCTGAAATGTTGAGCCCGGCAAAAACACAGTCTGAAAACCTATTGGCATACCGTCAATTGAAATTTAATACTGAAAAAATTAATTGATCAAAAGTCTTCAAAGCTTTCATATATATATATCTGATGGGTATAAGTTTGGGAAAATTTTCCATAGTTTAAAAAGAATACACATACCGTATACATTAAAACTGTCCAGTAAAATTTAGGGAGGGTGACTTAGAGAATGTTTTGAATTTGAAATTTGGAGACATAGTAGCTTTAGGTGTTTCTGTACATTTGCGTGTTGTATTATTGTTCTTTTTTGTTTCCTCTCCACTGCTGCATGTCTCAGCAGCTAGTTTAGCGTCCATGCATTTGGGGCTCCTTTCTTTGTCTCCAACATTTAGAAAGAGAGACTATAGATGTTGTCAATTTGTAATGTATTTTTGAATTATTTTTCAGTTCAATTAAAAAAAAATCATTAAAAATATTTTGCTTTGCATACATTTTGTGTTAATGTTTGATAGTTTAGGGAGATGCATCGTATTATATATTCTACTGTATATCAATTAGACCTCTACACTTTATTTGTGATAAAAAAATAATTCTGTTTGCATGTAGTTAATATTTTACCGTAACTTTATTAAAATCAAAACTTTATGGAAATCATATTGTGAATTTTTTTCTGAGTTTGTAAAAACACCAATTCTTTGCAGATTCCAACTTCTGATACAATAGTTTTGTGTAATTTTATGTCATATTTATGTCCTTGGCCATGTGAACTGTAAATAACACATGTATTAATCGTCACACTCATTTCTGTCTTGTTAGAAAGCAAAATTTAGTAATAGTTATCGTTAAACCACATGGGTTTTAATCAGTATTAAATCGCCGATCGTGCGAGAAGGTGATTCCTTATTTCTGGTTATAAAAAGCCATTGGTGAGAGAGTGTTTTGAAACACAGTATACTTAAGACATTGTGTACAGCAGGAAGCTGGCAGCTTGGTTTGTGTAGAAATCACATGAACAATATGCTACAATACACTTGATGGTCAGACAGAACCAGCATGCCCAGTTAACACTAGAATAACAGGACACTAAACAAAGCATTGCTGCGAAATCAAGGTCGGCTCACAGATTACATGCTGGAATTAGATATGATTCTAGCTAGCTGATAATGCTATAATCATTAGTACATTGCTGGGTTTATAGTATTGCTATGGCATAAACATAATGTTAAAAGAAAATAAGGCACAAAGATAGATATTCGTTTGGTTCTTTGTTCTAACATTTAACCCAAGCTGGGGCCAAAGCAGTGATTAGCAATGGCTTATGCTCATTTTTGTACATTCATCTTTTGATGTGTCCCATTAAATTTAATGAAAGAAGTATGGAACTGACATAATATTTATCGAACTAGTGATGGAAAATGGCCCATTGTGTGGTGTGGCTTTTATAATCACTAGGCGTGTCCAAAAATGACATGAGGAGTTTATACTGCTTGTTGAGGGTATCATTTGAGCAACATTTTGATATGGTGGATCTGAAGTATTGCTTAAGTGTTGCTAATATTTGTTAGCACAGTGAAAAATTGTAAGTCTAAAAAGTGGAAAATGATTCCTTTGTTTTCGTAAATTTTATTGAAATATTGCATCTAAGTTATCTGGACTTTCTTAAATTTCTTCTAATAATGGTAAAAAATGTTGAGGTATGGTGATGGGTGTAATAATTAAAATTTGTCCAAACTTTTGCTCCGGACTGATAGGAGGGAGAGCTGTGTGTGAGAGATGGTAATTGGAATAATTTTCCTTAACAAATTTCTTTTAGACTGGCAAGTGGGAGAGCTCTTCGTGTGTGAGATTGCTAAATAATTCTTTAGATTACCTGGAGGGATAGATGCATGCCGGATTGTCAAATAACCTCCTGTACACTGGCGGGTGGGAGAGGTGTGCATGTGAGATAGTAAGGAATAATTACCAAAATATCTTCCAGACTACCAGAAGGGAGAGGTGTGGGTGTGATATCGTAAGGAATAATTACCAAAATATCTAACAGACTTCCAGGAGGGAGAGGTGTGTGTGAGATTGCTAAGTAATTCTTTAGATTACCAGGAGGGATAGATGCATGAAGGATTGACAAGTTATCTATTGTAGACTGGTGGGTTGGAGAGGTATTTGTGAGATAGCTAAGTGATGTCTTAACTGCTGGGAAGGAGAGGTACTGTAGTAATTAGCTGGTAACCTCTGGTGTGGGTATGAGATCACTATAATAACTTGGGTTATTTCCATGTGACAGGACCACCTCCTAATGTGCCACCACCAACTGGTAGTCGTTATGTACCCCCTCACCAGCGAGACGGTGCTCCTGCTCCGGTACCCCCACCAGGCAACTTCCCACCTGGAACTGACAGTGGTGGTCGAGGTATGTAGGCAGATCCTCCAACACTGGTCAACACTTACTCCTGTTAACATTGATACACTAAACAATGTAGACAGAACCAGTGCTGTTTTACACAGTTAACACATACTCATTGATACACACATTAGTGTAGACAGATATGTTATTTGATTTGGGGTGTCAGTTATCCTTAAATCTACAGAGGATGACCTATGTCTAATACAACACTACACCTGGTCATATTGACAATTTTCAGAATATTTTGTCAATAATATTGATGTTTTGCAAGTTCTAAAAAATACATCCACTGCAAATATGGCATGCATGCATTAAAATGCAACAACTTCACATTGTGGGACATTTGATCGACGGTGTTCTGAGCTTATGCGATCTTTTTTGAAGAATGGATGAATGGAAGGATTAGATCTAAAACTAACAAGGATGTTCTTTACTGATCATGATTTGAACTAGACATTCACTCTGACTACTATTCCAATTAAATGTTTTGGAACATAGTTTAACACGGAAATATTGCATCAGTTCTTGGATATCTAAAAAGAAGTTAAAATGTTTATGTATTCTCAATAGTACAGACTAAAATGAGGAAATCCTTTGAAAAATTACTCATTCACAGCCTTTCATAAATTTGATTTTCAATATTAAATTTGCTTTATTTATGAAATACTCCATGCTGCATTTTAGTTGCAAATTTTCATTTGGATTTACATTGCTTTTATCTTTATTGCATGATGTACTACAACAATTTCAAACTGTTAGAATGAAATATATCTATATGTACAATCTTGATTGTTACTTCTATATTTATTCTTCTGTATTTTAATACTACAAAAAATGGGAAATTAAATAATAAAATGGACGAAACTTTATGAAAAATTGTATTTGGGCTAATGTATAAATTGCTTGTAAGGAACTTTATAATAGTGGTTAACTTGTTGTATTTATTTTAGAATTGTTCAATTTAATACTAATTTTATCACAAAATCTAACAACACCATGTTGATCACTACCATTAACATTGTGTGGTGCCTTTGAATTTACCAACACTTTTCAAGATACATGTACCTTATAGAAGGATATTTTTGTATGGAGTTTAAATTGGCTGATTTTTCTAGAGTAAGAAATGTCATCACAGTAAAATTTTAGCTGTGGTTACGATGAAATGATTTTTGAAAAGTTTAATAAGTAGCTCTAACATTGCAATATTGTAATAATGATGTTATTGTCAAAGACTTCGATTAGTTGGAAAAATCTGTCCAATTTTAAGTAGTGTTTTTGATACATACATTTTACAACAGGTTGTTCCTTTATGAATTGGAAAAATATAGCATTATTTGTCCTTGGTTTTTGGTCTCTTTTTGGGGGAGGGGGGTGGGGGTAGGGAATAGGACACTTTTTAGCTAGGGGAAACAGCAGTAAAACTGAGCCAAAAAAAGTCACTGATAAGTAATTGTTTGCATTAAATATGTTTAAATCAAAATTGAGAATGTTGTTTTTTTGAAAATTTAGCATTTATTTCAAAGTAATTTTATTTAATACATATATGCTTTTTGGTTGTATGTTTCTAATGTTCAAATATTTTTATATAAAATAGAATAACAAAACAAACGAAAAATGAATGAAGACCTTGGAAAGTTGGTTTTTAATAGCACAATGAGAACAGAATTGATTAATTTACCATGTCATGATAAAAATCTCCATCTATAAGGCGGTGACATCTTGTGTATGACATTTGAATGGTGCTGACCATTCTCATTGTACATCCAATTAAATAAATAATTAAATTATTCTAGGTGGCTATGGAGGCTACAATAATCAGGGACGCGGTGGATACAACATGAATGGAATGCCTCCCCAGACCTTCAACCAGCCCAGTAAGCAACTGCCTGACTTCTTGTTCAGATAGCCTTAACCGCTTATTTTAAACTATATATAAATTTAAACTTTTTCATGATAATTCAGTTATTATAAAAACAATAAATTATTCATTCATTAGTTTGCTTTTATATTCTTTGTTTTATGCTATCAAGTGTCTTGCTGTAGTAAAATGCAATATTATGATTCAATTCAATAAGTTTGCTGCTGTTTATAAATAATCAATCTAAAAGTATAGGATATTTCCAGATGTAACAATCCAAACTTGAAGTGGGGAGTTCAGGCTGTATTGTCACTACGATGTTTCTAAGGGCTGCACATAACAATCTGATATCCAATCTGTAGACTAGAAGCACTTTTCTCTCCATTCACACTGTAAACCTCTCTAATCAGTCATCACTCCAAACGTCCTAACACTTTTTGAACAATTTAATTACAATATTACATTTTGGTCTCTCTCTCTCTATATATATGTATGTTACCTTGATGCTAAGATGTCTTGTATACAAATTTATTTTGTAACTTTGGTACCCTTTACACAGACATGAGTGATGGTCGTGGTGGCTACAACAACTACAGCCGCGGAGGTTACCAAGGCAACTATGGTAACCAAGGTGGCCAAGCTGGCAACTTCAACAGCTTTAACCGTCGTGGAGGAGGCCAAGGAGGATACCAGGCCAACGGCGGCGGGCGGTGAGTTGTATTACCAAGCAGTCTTGGTATTCGACTTTTAGAGATCATCAAAAATCTTGATTTACCATGTAAAAGTATTCAGTCTTCAATGGTGAAATGAAGTTCAGTTGGTTTAAGATGTTGATCAAGAAGCACACTTTAATACTATAGACCCTTTCTGGTTAAGACACTAACCTTTTTATACAACCGTCAAATTTGACAGGAGTATTATGGAATGGGATTGTTTGTCCGGCAATCTCCTCCTACATTTTTCGACTGATCTCTTTGAAACTTGGTATACATTATAATCATGATAGGAAGTTGTGTTTCCTTTAAAAGAATTTTGATTCAACGATTTTTGCAAAAGTAATTGCCCTTTGTTCATTTCAGTTTTTGATTGTTTGTCCGGAGATTTTCTCCTACATTTTTTATAGCATGTCAGCTAACCACTCTTAGAATGATGCAGATCGTTTTTCAATGTAAGAAAGTATGTAACACTTTATGGCATTCGACAGCCGAATATTGTTCCGTCCCGCGGTACTCTTTGTTTTGTTTGGTAGCCCACATGACTAGTTGAATTGATTAGTTACTAGTCCTTTGTCAATGTAACTAGTGCCATGATTTTCTGATAAAGAAACACCGCAGTCTTCAGCAAATACATCAAAATCGACTGAAGGGGAATTGAAATAACAACTGCTATAAAAATATGGTGAAATCTAAGGAACATTTTGACATGACTATGCATCTTATTTGAAGCAGTTTTCAAAAATTTAAAGGACCAGTTAGGTTAGGTGATTCACTAGTCCTTGCTGAAATCTACTAGTCCAGTACTAGTATTAGTGTAGACCCCTGCCTTTATCCTTAGATCTTGATGTGATTTATTAAGTCACCTGAAAAGTCTGAAAATTATGTCAAATATTTAACTTTTTAGTTCTCATGTGTTGAAATAGAAATATGTATTAAATGTAAAAAAAATACTGTTTGGAAGGTCATCATCTTTATAGTGTTGAATTTGTTATAAGATTTTCATAGAACTTCATACAGAGGTTAAACGCCAAAGTTTGTAGCTTAAACGATTTTGTATTTCAGCATTTTACACCCAAATTCACCATAACTCAGGGGTCGACACTAACGGTAGACCGGAGGACCGGGTCCACCAAAATCTTGGACGGTCCACTTAATCTCCAAAGCTGGTAGACCGCCGGTCCACCACATATTACTTGATTAGTGTATATATATTTGAGAATGTTGTTCAGAAATATACTAATAAAGACTTTATTTACTTCGCCAGCGAGCCGTAAAATCCCATCTGGTTAAAAAATGTATCGTATTTTCGTGTTGTTAACCCGCTAAAAGTTGTCGTTATCATTCTTGGACGAGTGAAGTGCGTGAATCCGCTTGCGGTAAGTCGGAATCCTTTCAGCGTTTGAGTCGCTTGTGGTATAGTTTGCCGCTATTGTAAGCACTAAAATGACGATGACGTCACGATCACGGTGGTCAACCGGTAAATGAAGGTAAACTTAGCCTCACAATTTCGTGTTACGTTTTAATTTCTATCGTATTCTAGCGTATATCGTTTAGGTGATCGTGTCCGTCGATTCACTTAGTATCTGTACTAGACTAGTACCGTATCGCCTGTGTCGCGATTTTTAAATGGCTTGGTTTACAACCACTTGCAAAAAAAAGTTAAAAACTTCAACAGAACAAAAACAACACAAAGTTTGTATGGGCAACAAAAAGGATGATATCCTTTCAGGAGTCATGGAAAAATCGTTTACATGGCTCAATAATGATACTGACACAAACTTAATGAAATGTAGGGTATGCTGCACTCAGAAGATCTTTCCGAAATGTCCAGGAAGGATTGAATAGAGGTGCAACAAAATACGTAAAGATTACTGTTGGGGCAAATGATTTTAACATTCTGACTGTATATTGAGATAAAGATCATATAAAAAAGGTATAATACTATAAAAAAGTATATTATTTTATCCTTATTTTTTCATATGATCTTTATCTCAATTTACAGTCAGAATTTCAAACACCTTTGGATGGGAGCTATGTAAAAAAAAATAAACAAGGAGAAAATTGTTTCATGTTTCTGTGTCATTTACTAAAACTTGGTCATAAATGGAAAAAATAAAAAAATAAGGAGAAAAAACAAGTATTTTACAGAAAATTAAAAAACCTTCATTATTTGTTTAAAACCCTCAGATGCCAGGATTTTGCATCTAGCTTTTAAAAAAAATTGGGGGAGGACCCCCATACCCCCCTCTTATTCAGGAGGGGGGGTACCCCCTCCCGAACCCACCCCCCACTCCTCGCTACGCTCGTCGACCGGGGCGCAAAGCGCCCCAGATCTGAGAATATTATTCAGGTCCACCAGAAATTAACCAGGTCCACCAGATTAAGAGAGCAGGTGGACCTGTGGTCCACCACCTATTAAAAGTTAGTGTCAACCCCTGTAACTACATAAAGAGCTTTTTTGTTTGATTTCAATGAAAATTATATTTCATGGTGATGAGGGAATATGTATAATGAAATCTCCAAATTATTTTATAAACTTGGTATATATATCTATAACCTGAAGTTATTTTCATGTATACCAGGTACAATAGAGGAGGAGGAAGCAGTGACCGCGGCATGAGACAGGGAAGCATGCCCCCACATGCAAACCAACCCCCACCCGGCAACTCCCGCTGGGACAATCTGGATGATGACCGTGGTGTTCGGGAACAGAGGGCCGGCAGTGCCCCCTCCCAGAACTGGAATAACCAGGGCAACCGCTGGGACAACAGGACAGAGTGTAGCGTAGTAACAAACAGTCGCTGGGCCCCAGAACCCACTAAGGAGAACTGGAATGTGGCTCTGCAGAGAAATGACCGTCTGGAATTGTATGTTTACTGCATTTGGGAACTATTATAAATTCTCATTAAAAGCAATATCCTTGTTATTTAGGTGCAGTGATTAAAAAGTTGCGTAGAAGTCAAAATATAACCTTTGTAAGGTCCGGCTCAATTAATTGTTAGTGTAATAAGGCATATTATTATTTCAATAAGATAGAACTTTAACATCACAAAATAATTATCCTTTACTGTTGCATTTAATGTGTACATTAGATACTTTTTACCAGAAAACAAAAACAAGTTGAGCCAAAAATCATTTTGTTAAAACTTCACAAGATGTCGAGTGAAAACCTTCTAAGCAAAATGAAAGGTTTAAAGAGTGTAAAAGAAGAAACCAAATAAAATGCAATTTTGATCACATTTTTTTTCTGATAATCAGAGAGCTTTTTGGCATTGGTAACACTGGAATCAACTTTGACAAGTATGAGGATATCCCAGTAGAAGCTACCGGAGATAGCTGCCCCAAGCATATTGAATCTGTAAGTGTCATTTTCAAAGTCTGATGTTTTGACAGAGCAAGCAATTCATGAAGTAACATTTTGTACTTTTTGTGATATAAGATTTACTGGTGTGTCAAAGTAAAAAATATTTTTAAAGTTAGAAGAAATCTTGGTACTGTGTTGAATTTGAGGTTGGAGATAATAGGTTATGTTCTGTGAATTAGCTATAAGTTTTTAGCTCGCTGGGTCCAAAGGACCAAGGTGATCTTATCGTACTGTGTTGTCCGTCATCTGTACGTACGTCAACAATTTATTTAAACGACTACTTCTTCTAAACCACTGATTGGAATTTAACTAAATTTTACTTGAAGCATCCTTCGGTGATGGGGTTTCAAAATTGTACAATAGGTGGTGAGAATTCAAAATTGTACAAATGGTTGGGCTGACCCCCCATGGGGGCTTAGGGGCAGGCCAAAAGGGGGCAATTTGGCTATATTGCTTTAAGCAACTTCTTCTCAGGAACTAAAAGATGGATATCAACCATATTTGACTAGAAGCATCCCTAGGTGGTGGGGATTCAAAATTGTACAAATGGTGGGGCTGACACCCCAGGGGGCTTAGGGGCAGGGGTTAATTGACTATATTGTTACAAACGACTTCTTCTGTTTAACTATGCACTGGATATCAATCATATTTGATCAAAAGCATTCATGGGAGGCAGGGATTCAAATTGTACAAATGGTGTGGATGACCCCCAAGGGTTAAGATCCCCACCCCAAAACTTTATATATACAATTGTACGGCATAAAGAGACGAACGCAGTCATGATATTAGAATTGACCCCAGGGTCTGTCCCACCCTTGCAGACTTAACCCCTAGGTCATAACTTTGAAACAGTTGAGATCCCCACTCCAAAACTAGAAATACAAATTCTGGGCAAAAAGAGACGAATGCAGTCATGATATTAGAATTTATCCCGAGGTCTGGCCACAACCCTAGATACCTAGTTTTTGAGTCACAGCTTGGAAACAGTTGGGATCCCCACCCCATAACCATTCATAAAATTGCTGGGCATGAAAAATCTGCTACAAGGATTGGACTTGGGGTCTGGCATATTCCCTTGGATCTAATTTGGAGAATTTTTTGCCATGATTGTTTAGATATCCAGGTGAGCGATACAGGCCCTCTAGGCCTCTCGTGAAGAATTTGTGGATTTATTGTACACATATTAACAACTGGAAATTCCACTGTAGCCAACCTACACTGGTCACAAAAATTTGATCTCGGTCTCTAACATATGTTGACTAATATTTCAGTTTGAGGAAACAGATCTTGGTGAGATTATCAGGAACAACATCGTCCTGAGCAAGTACACAAAACCTACCCCAGTACAGAAGTACTCCATCCCAATTGTCCTGAACAAGCGTGACTTGATGGCTTGTGCCCAGACAGGTGCGTTGTTTTGAGTTCCGGGAGTCAGAAGGACCTTGAAAAGTGGTTGAATTTATAACAGCATATTTTCAAAAATAAGTTTTTACCCTTGAAATTAACTTTTACTTTTACCCAGAAAAAACAAATACATTTGTTATACTTGATATTTGAAACATTATTTGTGTGAGCCCGGGTAAAATTGTTAGACTGTAAGGTAAGCTTTACATAATTTATCTTATCGTATGAATACCGTGTTATGCAGTGTCTGTCATAAAGCACATAAATTATGTTTATGTAACGTGTGTAATATTACTCTAGAAATGACGTCACAATCGAGAAGGAACAATTAATATGACATTGTGTTATTGTGAAGCGACGCAATTTTCATCGTTTCAGAGCCTCTCTGCAAAATATAAAAATAATCTGTCATTCGTTTCTCTTCATATTAGATTGATGATACATGTTTTGGATTTTTCATATTTGCTCGTCAGAGGCTCACAAACATGAAAAATCTGAAACTTGTATCATTAATATAATGTGAAGGGAAACTTACGACAGATCCACTATATTTGAAAATTTCTAATTGTGCTAAATTTTCTGTCAAAACCTTGCATTTTCATTATATAATCAGCCATTACTTTCATTTTGCTGTGTCAATGGAAATCTGGAAACTTGTTGAAAGTTATTACTCCAATATGTGGTGGGTCTTATTTAAAGGTTTGCAAAATTAAGACTAAGCACTACTGTATCCAGACTTCAAACCAGGGACAGTTTCTTTATGATGTGAAAAGACCATTGAAAGATACACTTTCTACTGATCAGATTTGTGTGTACTTTGGTAATGAACCGATGTTGCATCATACATGTTTCTTCATTGTTGTTAGGATCGGGGAAAACTGCCGCCTTTCTGGTGCCAGTGTTGAACCGTGTGTATGACAATGGACCATGCGACACCCCTACAGCCAACAATCAGGTGAGTAGTGAGAGATGGGACATTTCTGTTCAGAGGTCTACTGTCCTAATTGTTTTCCAACATTTAAGCACAGAAAGATCAGACAAAGTTGCGATAGGAAATAAAATCAGCCAGTTAAAACATTTTGGATTAATTTTTAATCTCCGGTCCACCACTGTTTAGAGGAACATTGACAGAGTATCTTGGTCTAGAGAACAAATGTCTTTAACTCATTCACCCCTGAAGACACATTTGAACTCTTTATATTCAAAGGTTGGAATAGTTCATTATAAAATGCAGATGTGATTAATTTAAAGGAATTGTTTTTTCATTTAATTCTGCCTTGCGGTGATAGACATTTTCGTCTACTTATGCAAATATTCAAGCTTCACTGGTTAATTACATATTATTGTTGTTTATTTTATGCACTTTCACATTCAACCAAGATTGATATTTCTTGATTCCTGATATGAGGAAGTAATTTAATAGACCATTGAATTGCTTTCTTGCTTTTCATTGTTAACATGTGTGTGTTTTGAAAACTTCATTGTTTCAAAAGTAGCATGCTCTTTCCTTTTCAGCAGGGACGTAGCTACTCCCGCAGGAAACAGTATCCCCTTGCTTTGATCTTGGCCCCTACCCGTGAGTTGGCCTCCCAGATCTATGACGAAGCTCGCAAGGTAAATATATATATTTTTAGGATGGTTAATGGTGATTCACAGCTTGACAAATTTATTCAAGTCTTAAAAAGTATGTTGTAGTTGCCAAAATTTAATAGTTAGCTGTTACAAAAAGGTTAAAATAAATGTACATGGTATTTTTGAAACCCTATGTTATACCTTGAAAAAAGTGACTGCTATTCACAGGATGTACTTTATGGATTAAAAACAATGATTTACATTTAACATGTATAATAGAAAATGTTGCTCTGATCGATCCCCAGGATGTACCCTGTGACATGCCCTGGCTTAAAAAACAGTGCTATATAAAATGTAGTGATTCGCATCGTTAGAGGTTGGGCTGTGGTGTCTAACTATCTTGGTATTGTAGCTACTACAAGAAAATGCATAACATTTTAACAAATCAATAGATTTGGACCAATTGTGCTCAGTGAGGTTTATAGAAAGCATGACATCATTAAGAAAAGAATATTTGCCTATTATATTAATTTCATGTGTGTTTGTTAAGTTTGCATACAGGTCCCGTGTGCGTCCCTGCGTGGTGTATGGAGGAGCCGACATTGGGGCCCAGATCCGTGACCTTGACCGCGGCTGTCACCTGTTAGTGGCCACACCTGGACGTCTTGTTGACATGATTGAACGAGGAAAGATAGGTCTTGACCATTGCAAGTAAGTCACTATCCTCTGTGATGTGTACAATACATATACCACTATATATAGTTCAAATTCCCATTATCAGGAGTTCTGGTCCCAATTAGGGAGATATTAGCCAGGTGGCGTAAGACTAGTAGTTAGTGCCCAATAAGGAAGCTCCTGCGAATTCCTCAAAAATTGTATATCCTAATTGTATTAATTGTATATCTATGTACTGTAATGCGCTTTAGAGTGGCTTATGTTAGCTAGATAGGGCGCTATATCAAATGTTGTATATTATCATTATTATTATCTGGCTTCTGTAATGCCCTTTTTGTGTGTCATGTTTAAATGAGCTTCCTTGTTGCCTCAATTCCAGCAATGAAATATTACAAAATATGGAGTCTTGATCCCTCCCCCGTTAAGAGTATAAACATGGCTCTGATCGATCCCCAGGATGTACCCTGTGACATGCCCTGGTTAAAAAAAACAGTGCTATATAAAATGTAGTGATTCGCATCGTTGGATGTTGGGCTGTGATGTCTAACTATCTTGGTATTGTAGCTACTACAAATTTATTTAGAATTAAAACTGAATGTGCAAAATTTTATCGGGTACACAGATGTTAATTTTACTCCTCAAATTGTCTTTTTAGTGAAATGTTAAAGGGGCATCACGGTGAAGTAACTTTATTTTTTGTCTTTTTTTCAAATACTACATAAACATATCAAGTGAGACTCCTTATGGAAAATAACGATCGGATTTGGCTGAAATAGAAAAATAACGATCGGATTTGGCTGAAATAGATTCATAAAAATGATTAAATCTAAGAAAATCATCGGTAATTCTACCTGTCTGACCAATGTTTTGTTCAGGGATTTCCCTCTAGTAGCGCATGCACATAGCACACCATTTCTTTGTAAACAAAATGACTGACCGTGTGAAGTAAGCGAAAGAAAAGTGTTGTACCGTGTCAGCTACGAAACGAAAGGTTGCCAAATGGTCAAAAGATAGCGCAAGGAGTACGTTACGGAATCATTATTGCAGGTGGGCAGTATTCAAAGGAGAAAATAACTGCCGTAGCAGTTAGTACGGTGCATGTATTCTTCCGGATAGCCGGTTAAGCTGAAATGGAATCGACAGAAATGCTAGCGCTGTTTATGTTATGAATAAATATCTAAAACTATTAAGCTCGCTAGTATCTTTGTCTGAGTTTGAACACAGATGAACTTAGTTTAATATGTTAATGGGCATGTATTGGAGAGAGTTTACTTTGTGTTTCTATAATTATACAGTGGTTTATGCGAAAGGAAGGGATAAGTGACTGGTTAGTTTGATTTTGCCATGAGGCCCTCCAAGGGATAACTGTTGTGATGGCCCACGGCGTATTTTCTGGGTCACCGAGATACGTGTTATCTAAGTCCGTGGATTTACATAATTTATAATATTACCGGGTTCAATAAAATGGTATGATTTAATTATATTGCTGAATTAAACGATTATTTTTGTTTTTACATGCAAGATTTAAATTAGTACTAATATGAATACCCTGCAATATATAAAAAAAAAATCAGAAAGGTTTGTCCCTTGGTGTGGGGAAGGTGTTTAGCCACGTACCATCTGTACCGGCCACATTCTGGTACTAAATTCAATATATATTTAAATATATCTACTTTATGTTTATGCCTATTATCATTGTTGACATTTAATTGTAAATGTATGACGGGAGAAGGCTGTGATAAATTGTAAAAACTTGCGCCTCATCCCTTGTTTAATTTTATTGGCAACAAATTTATGTATCAAAGCTAAATAAATTTAAATTCTGAATATTGGCAAGTGTGCAATTAACTTCTAATGCTGAATAATTACTGTTCAATAAGTTTGAATACGGACTTAGAAATCATATAACTTGGTTTCATAGTGCGGTAAGAAGTTGCAGTTGCCTAACGGCCCCTCTCTGGGGGCCCCTTTGGAAACCGTTTCATCTCGCTCGCACCACTTGTGTTTACTGCCTAGTCAGGTGACGTTATCGGCGCTATTTTTAGCAGGGCATTCCCGAACAATTCAAGTAGTCAAACTGGACATTTGGAACGGACTATGAATATGGGGATAGCGTGGTAACATAAGTGGAAGTGCATACAATACATACCTTCATTAAAAAAAAACGCCTTTTCACGTGATGTCCCTTTAATTGCTGAAGGTAGAATAGAGCTGCTGTATTTGTGAACTATTATTAATAGGTTCTTGGTTTTGGACGAGGCAGACAGGATGTTGAACATGGGTTTTGAACCCCAGATCCTTAGAATATTATCACTATTTCCCAGGAAGTACTTGACAGATCTTTCTCGTATTGCAATGATTGGTTCTATTTCTTTCTCATTAAGTACTGTACTAGTTAATATGTGAAACAATAAACTCATTCTGAAGGTTGTCTTTTAAACACAGCAGTATGAAATTTCAATCAAAAGTTACCTCAAGGTGCTTTTACTGTTTACGTGACTCAATCAAAAAGGTAAAGTAAGAGAAAAGATTTAATTGACAAAGATGGTTTGATTGTGGACGCAAAGATCCCTCTGGGATCTCCTGTTTGTGTGTATCATGTTCAAATTAGCTTCCTATTGCATCAATTCTAGCAATAAACTAGTACAGAATGTGGAGTCTTGATCCCTCCCCCGTTAAGAGTATAAACATGGCTCTGATCGATCCCCAGGATGTACCCTGTGACATGCCATGGTTTAAAAAAAACAGTGCTATATAAAATGTAGTGATTCGCATCGTTGGATGTTGGGCTGTGGTGTCTAACTATCTTGGTATTGTAGCTACTACAAATTTATTTAGAATTATCTAACTATCTTGGTATTGAAGCTACCAGAAATTTATTTAGAATTAAAACTGAATGTACACAATTTTATCGGGTACACAGATGTTAATTTTACTTCTCAAATTGTCCTGTTAGTGAAATGTTAATTGCTGAAGGTAGAATAGAGCTGCTGTATTTGTGAACTATTATTAATAGGTTCTTGGTTTTGGACGAGGCAGACAGGACGTTGAACATGGGTTTTGAACCCCAGATCCTTAGAATATTATCACTATTTCCCAGGAAGTACTTGACAGATCTTTCTCGTATTGAAATGATTGGTTCTATTTCTTTCTCATTAAGTACTGTACTAGTTAATATGTGAAACAACAAACTCATTCTGAAGGTTGTCTTTTAAACACAGCAGTATGAAATTTCAATCAAAAGTTACCTCAAGGTGCTTTTACTGTTCACATGACTCAATCAAAAAGGTAAAGTAAGAGAAAAGATTTAATTGACAAGGATGGTTTGATTGTGGACGCAAAGATCCCTCTGGGATCTCCTGTTTGTGTGTATCATGTTCAAATTAGCTTCCTATTGCATGAATTCTAGCAATAAACTAGTACAGAATGTGGAGTCTTGATCCCTCCCCCGTTAAGAGTATAAACATGGCTCTGATCGATCCCCAGGATGTACCCTGTGACATGCCATGGTTTAAAAAACAGTGCTATATAATATGTAGTGATTTGCATCGTTGGATGTTGGGCTGTGGTGTCTAACTATCTTGGTATTGTAGCTACTACAAATTCATTTTGACTTAAACTGAATATTCATAATTTTATCCGGTACACTGATGAGAAACTGATGTTAATTTTTTCAAATTGTCTTGTTATTGAAATGTTATTGCTGAAGGTAGAATGGAGTAAATGTGAGATTCTATATTTGTGAACTACTTTTGACAGGTTCTTGGTTTTGGACGAGGCTGACAGGATGTTGGACATGGGTTTCGAGCCCCAGATCCGTAGGATTGTTGAGAAAGACACTATGCCTCCTTCTGGCACCAGACAAACTCTTATGTTCAGCGCCACCTTTCCAAAGGAAATCCAGGTGAGTCTGAGGTCTGGTTATTCCTATTCAGTTTTTCCATAATTGAGTTTAACAATAGATGGTCCTATGCTTAATCATCAATGAAACTTAAAACATTATCTTAGAATAGAAGGTATTGTCAAAACTTTTTGCTTTAAATTTTGATCTTGATGATCTCCCATTTATCACACCTATTTTGTTTATAAATATTTGAATACATGCAGTTGTTTTGCTGTCTGAACGAATGAACATCTTGACTTATTCCTTCAATACTTTTTGTTAAATTTGTTGATTTCATTTGTAAGACTGTTAAAATCCCTGTTGTGGCTGACAATGTTACAGATTCTGGCCCGCGACTTCTTGGACAACTACATTTTCTTGGCGGTGGGCCGAGTTGGTAGTACTAGTGAGAACATCACACAGAAGGTGGTCTGGGTTGAGGAAGGTGACAAACGTTCCTTCCTGCTCGATCTCCTCAATGCTGCAGGTTCGTCTTAATTCCTCAAAAATAAAAAAAAATAAAAAAATATCATTCGGTTTTCCAATCCAAGAAAGAATCTCCTCCCTGTTTTCGAAGTAATGCAAAATGTCAGAAATGTCTTTTTATACTTAATGTAGTAGTTGATTGAATGTTATCTTTATGAACATTTTTATTTGTACACATAATAAAAAGTCGACTGTTCAAATTAAAATATGAAATATTCATTATACTACTGTGTAATGAATCGTGACGGATGTCAAAAACGTAGCTAGACTTATGTATGACATAAATACTGATGTATAATGTATCATCAGCTGGTCCAGACGCCTTGACCCTAACATTCGTGGAGACCAAGAAAGGTGCCGATGCCCTCGAGGACTTCCTCATCAACGAAGGGTACCCTGCCACAAGTATCCATGGTGATCGTTCACAGAAGGAGAGAGAAGAGGCTCTGCGATCGTTCAGAAACGGTGACAGGCCCATACTTGTCGCAACTGCTGTACGTAGTCAAATGTGTGAAATTATATGCTTCGTTTAAAACTTGTGCTTTATTTTCTTATATTTGCCTTCACTCTATCTTTCCCTGTAATTTTTCGGGGGGGGGGGCGGGGGGCATGACCAAAGAGTTTCACATTTGGGAAGGTAGAAATGGAAGAGGACTAGAAGGTTTAATTTCGCTGGTCACTGTGATATTGACAGGAAAATGATCATATTCAGTTCTATATGTTCAGCCTATTTCTCTAATTGTATTGAGTGAAATCATGTAAAACCAAACTTGGAAATACTTCAAAAAACATTTGATTTGCATTTTAAAGTTAAAATGATATTTTGGTTGTTACATTTGCATTTTAAAGGTAAAATGATATTTTGGTTGTTACATTTGCATTTTAAAGTTAAAATGATATTTTGGTTGTTACTTGCCACTAAATACAAGCTCTTGGATAACTCGGATATAGATTTCATTTTTAAACAGGAATAGCATAAAACCTGAAGGCGTTCCAAATTTCACACGGGAATTACATATAACCTAAATATGTTCCGAATATGAATCGGGCACCTTTGAGGTTCCCGAAGGGGTAGACTATTATATGATAAATTGCTATTGATTGATGTCCGACCAACGACTACCGTTGATATTCGCGTATAGCGCACACTTTCTTTAACATCGTTATATTTCAATTACCTGTTCTGCCCATGCCAGGTGACTGTGTCAGCAGATGTCCCTGTACTCGAGGTGTCGGTCAACGCTAACGTTATATTTGCCACATGCTTTCTTATTAATTCCATGTGTTGGCATGGTTTTGGCATGGCTAAACAGTTTGCATGTATTTACACCTGGTAATTGTTTACCATTTTGATTGACAGGTGGAAATATATGCGTTGTAGCTTGGTCAATGATTTATCGGAAAACGATCATACAGAATGATGGGGTGACTTTCATGTCATTCTGACATATTTCTAGTATTCTTGGATGACAGACAGGTAAAACATTCTGCTTGGTAGTGTTGTCTTAGTTATAATGATTGTATTTAACAGGTAGCTGCTCGAGGATTGGATATCCCTAATGTCCGTCATGTTGTCAACTTTGACCTTCCAAGTGATATTGAGGAATACGTCCACAGGATTGGTAGAACTGGACGTGTCGGAAACTTGGGTAAGATGTCTGTGAGATTAAAAACGTTTTTAGGTAGATTTTTCTAAAATGTAGATTTTGATAACTGAATTCTTATTCCTTGTAAATACAGTTGTAAAATATTGCAAATTCTCATAATCTTTATGAATTGGCTACATATCAATAGCTTCCCGACTGGGACATATTTGTAGTTTCCCCTAACACGTGTATTAACACGGACAATACCTGCTGGTGAATGATAGGTAATATTGTTCAACAGAATGTCAGTTGATATTATGTTAGTTAATTGTATACACGTACTCAACGGTATAGCAAATGCACTGATTATTATTTTGCCCTTTATAATTCAAATGTATTATTTAAGGATTGAACATCTGTCAGATTGCAGTTACAGCCAATATGAATGCAATCTGGATGACAGATAAATAGAATAATGTCTGTTACATTAAATAACCTGGATAACTTTGTTGACCACAGGACTGGCCACATCCTTCTTCAATGAGAAGAACAAGAACATCATCCGTGACCTGATGGATTTACTTGTGGAGGCTCACCAGGAAGTCCCATCATGGCTCGAATCAATGGCGTATGATGCTCGCCCCTCTGGACCCGCTGGTCGTCGTGGAGGGCGCAGGTAAATAATATATGTGATATGTCTCATAATTTAACTTCACTTATTTTTATGGTACAAGTGTAGTTTATTGTTATATTTCAATGTTTTCATGCTTCAGAGGGTATAAAAACATGCTGTTCAGTCAAAGTTGATGTAACAAGGCATGTGTGTGATGGGTTTTATAGTGTTTTACCCTGCAGTACCCTCTGTTTAATGATAGCTAAATGAAATGATGAAATGAATATACAAATGTATTGAACCATGCTAACTTTACCCGACTTCCTGCAGGTTTGGTGGGACTGGCTTCGGAGCCCGTGATTACCGTCAGCAGAACAAAACTGGCAAGCCATCTAGCCCAGGCTACGGAAACTTTGCTGGCGGCTCCGCTCCAACCACAGGGTACAATCAGTTCAACACTAACTACGGTAACTACGGTGGATCTTACGGAGGCTCCTATGGTGGGGCCCCAGCAGGGAGCAGCGGACCAGACTGGTGGGGAAACTAAGGGGGCACTATGGAACACTTTGAAAGACAACCACATTTTGTTTGTAACATGTACTTACTCTTTATTTACACAATTGGTAACAGGCGGCTAGAACCAGTGCTTGCTTATATCGGAGAATATTTGAACAAAAAGGAACAACTGAAAACGAAAAAATCCTTTCATAGTAACAACAAGTGCTTTTGCCCTCCCACGTTATTATGAACCTGTCCATGTGGGACGTCCACCTCAATAAACACTGCACAAAACATCTAGAAGTCAGTGTCCGCAACAAAACCCTTTGTTAGAGGAACTTAATATAAGATTATCGGCCACATGTCAAAGGGAGGCTTTAGATGACTTTAAGAGAAGGTGGTTTACAAGTATTATTGTGAAGACTTGTTCGCTTGTAAAACAAGGTCAGATTTTTAGAATTGCAGCTGTTTTAAGTACTTTTTTCAATTTTTGATTACAAAACTAACAACATGGTTGTTATTTGGAAGTATTTATTTTTATTCTTAATTCAAGAAAATGTTGTAATGATTACCAAATTACCATATACCAGTACAAACGATGCTTGCCAGTTTACGGTAATCATTGAAGGATCTTGTCTGCCAAATGGCGGAGAATGTTTTCCATAGAAACTAGATACATATATGTACTTATATCGTGTTTCTATAATCTGGAAAAAATGTGAACCATCCTCGGGGAGTCCTTGGTAGAGAAATATTGAGCAGGTCGGCTGCTTCACTTGACCATGTTTTGCCTAAAAGGCATTTTTAGTTTGTTAGTTGGATGTTCACCTATGAATAGAATCTATTTGTGGATGCACAAAGATTGTTTGAATGGTCTGTAGTTGTTAGCTGTTGCCTGCCAAGCATGCACTTCTACCATGATTTCTCAAAAGATATTGCAGCAGGTGAGGTAATGTCTTGCCTGCATAAGCTTGGATAAGAATGACATTGTTCAAGGCCACTTTCGTTGATCACGATCCAAATGTTTGGACCAGAGTTGTTCGTTTATGAAATAAGGTCGTACCTAGTAATCTGATGCGTTTTTTAGATGAGCCTTGCAAGGCCTGCATAAACTTTTGCAGGTCAGCCAAGATTTATGCTCGAAATTGTTACATTTAAAGACGGACAAACCGGTCGTTCTGCATACTAGGCAACAATAAGTTCACTGCTTAGAGTATCAATTCACGGACGAGTGACAATGTGGAAATGTAGTTGTTTAAGAAAAACAAATATATCTAAATATATTCCCAGTTTATTTTTGTACCTTCTCGCGTAACTTTACAATAAAATGGCATTGTTCACATCTTGGTTTATACAATGTGGTTCTGTGTGTGAACGGGTACAGCACAAAGATTACATGGTACTATTCTGTTAATAAGTGTGCATCACAGACTAGTAGACAAAACAATTCCAAGGACATTTATTGCCCACCATGAGAACAATTGTCCTTTGTAAATAGTCAGACCGAGTGGTTTGTCGCCGTGATATATGGATTAGAAAACTGGTTCTAGTGCTGTTGCCGCTCTGTAGAGCCAGGTATTTGTTTTACTTTTTCCTTGTACTTTTTTCTTTATTATTGTGTAGTATAAATATAGTATTATTGCAAAACAACTTTAATATAAATGCCGTCCTGTTTCAACTTGAAGTATATTGTTCAATACAAAACATGACTCGGTTTTGACAATTGATGGAAAGAGATTCATTTTGTCAGAAACTGAATTTGTGTCTTTTGATACATGTCTGTCCAATGATATAGAAATGTCAGTAAATTGGATTATAAAGCTTTCTTATTAAATGAAAATAGTTGCAAACGAGAGCATTATTTTCCTCATCTTGTGGAAACTTCTTTGGAAAGTTTGAACAGGACAAAAGAGGCTGTGAGTTTGAACTGTTTTCCAAGCAGTTCAGAAATGGCAAGTTTTCACTTGTGAGCGATGTTGACATTTTTTATGATCTCCAAGAGACGATGTGCATGCATGTATCTGACATATTTTCAGTGTCAAGAACATATTTTTGACAATTTGTAGAACTTTTTATTTTTAAATATATAATTTTACTCTCACATGTGCGTACTTGCGTGCACTGGAAAAGTGTTACACGGATAGTAATTATACACTGGACATGCGTGTAACAAGTATATTGATCAACAATTTGTTGGTTTTAGGCAATCAGGGTTTACGTCGATGTATATCAAGAATCTGTCTATGTACACTTAATGTTTCAATCCTGAGATGTCTTGACTGACAATCTCGCTTATTTTTCCATAATAATTCAAAACGTACATCATTCAGAACAATATCATGTCTCAATGGTTTACACATTAAGAGCATGCCAATTTGTTTTGCTAGTGTTTTCTCAAGTATGCCTTTTTACAGACATGGGAATAGAATGACTGTATATTCAAAAGTCATTTCTAGGTATATTTATTGCACAAAGAGCATAGCGAGATGAATCTGTATAATATTTATCATTATGCAAGTGAAACAATACAATTGAATAATGTACTTACATGTTCACGACTTTGAAAATATTCAAAGAACTCTTTCCGAGACGAGATGTAAGAGAGACAGCCTTGTATGGGACTGATGTGTTGGTATGGGTTTCCCAACTTATTTTTTTCTTCATATGGACTTTATTTTGTGAGAAGTGTAGAAGTTGCATTCTACTTTATATTGAGGAAATTGCCTGTTCACTAAAATGCATATTTTCTGTCAAAAGAAAATAGCCTTATCTATAATTTATCATGTGGAAAATATTACAACAAATGTAGAGATTATTGTAAACGATTCCTATAATATTTCTAAACTAGTAAGTATTGTGAGACATTCTAGAAGTTAACCTTCCTGGTGTGTTTAATTGATAAATCTGCTGAAACAAGTTTTATAAGGCTAATTTCTAAATGAATATTGATGCAGTGTCTCAATGGTTTGTGTTTGAGCATTTTATGATTTAATACCGTGATCTGTTTTTTACTACAAAGACAATGTTTGAGAAAAAAATGCATCATGTTTCAATCTTTCTGATGGACATTATATTGTATATCCTGTACAGGATTTGAGAAAAGTACACTTTATCGTAAGCATATCTGTGATTTGTCCATATGACAAAACATGGATGGAACAAATCCAGGCAGTGTTGACAGCTGTTTGATACTTCTAAAAAACTTATTATTTGCTTCATCAAACAAAATATGCCCTACTTGTCCTTTTGTGAATCGTCACTTACCATAATGTAATTCCAGACCTATTGGATGAGCATGTATGTTGGCCAATCAGTCTTTCATTCGGTTCATGTTTTTAAATGCATTTATTCTTGTATTTTTTACAATGACCGAGAGTATACAGGAAAAAATGCACCAATAATGTCAGAAATGTCAAGATCTGATGTCTACTTAGACATGACCCTTCTGGGATTCTCTGGATTGGAGAATTTGTTGCATTACATTTGATCGGAGCATGTCTATGTATGCATGTTTACATATGTATATATATATATATATGATATTCAAATGCAGCAATTTTGTTGACTTTTTTTCCGACATCCAATTTGTTGTCAGAAATTTCCTGAAAATGTGAAATTTCTGATTTTATTTGAAACACAAGTTCGTGAAATAGGAGGAATATCATTATTACTGAGTTTATAACGTCTCCCTGCCTCTTGTTGAACTTTCTGATGGGTCGAAATATTTTTTTGAAGATCAATTTCTGAATCTCAAACCTTTGAGGATGGTTAAACAACCTTTTTTACAGAGATTGCAATGACAGTTGTCATTTTACAGTTCAAATTATTTCCACGAAATTACCAAAAATATCAGAAATTGTATATGCATATTCAATGCATGTACAATTGAGTATTAATATACATGCAGTGTTGAAATGGAGGAGTTTTAATTCTCTTGGCACTGTATGGACGGTTGATGTCTCGGAGAATATTTGCCAAAATTCCTTTAAAAGGTGGCGATAGCTTCAATCAAAATTTTATCAAGTTCTCGAAGAGTGAATCATGGTTGGTTCCCACTATTTTTGAAGTTAGATTTGTTTGTTTTATAAGGTGAAGCTTTCACCAGTATTGTGACGCCACACTGGATTGACATTGCAATACTGTTATTTTGTATTTATACATTTTTGTATTTTTAATTGTTGGAGAGACAATGTAACATTCCAGATGTGTTCAATGACAAGGTTGGTTGGTTTTGTACTGTTTTAATCATCCAATGCATTTTTCATCTCGCGTGTACAACTCTATAGAGGCAGGTGAGCGGGCTAGGTAGCAGAGATATCTCGGGTGTTGAGCAGTAGTCATGGACCTCTTATTTCTTCTCAAGCATTAGTCCCAATCAATGTTAAAGTATTTGGTAACCTTTGGTGAAAATTGCTAATGGAGAAATCTCATTAACAATTCTTTTCTCTAAATGTCTAGAAAGATGAAAATTGATATTAACTCTTTCACCCCTGAAGTTACATAATGAACTATTCCAACCTTTAAATTGGAAGGGTTCAAATGTATCCTCAGGGGTGAGTGAGTTGAGAAATATTTCTCAAAACATTGTTTTCACTCTGTGTCATATTTTTGCCAGGTGTTTTGCTGTCATTGTTAAAGAAGTAAGTAAGACAATAATCTTGTACAAACTTTAAGGATTTTGTTTTTGGGTACTTATTGATTAAACCACTAATTATTAAGTAATTGAACATTTGAAAATGTTAGAGATTTACAACTGTTCAATCCAATTATTTGGACAAAGGATCTGTCGAGCACACTTTATGTTGTAACTTGTACAATTCCATAAGGGTATGAAAATACCTTTGTGCCAGACTCGACAACAACTGTTGCGTTCCATATCCCAACAAATCATTATCAGATGATCAGTATATAACCTTGAGAATTTTTTTGGACAAGACCTAGTCTCATTTTAAATATTACTAAAACTGTCTCATTGAGGACAGGTATTATGTTGAGTCTTGCACAAAGGACATTGAGTTGATAGCCATTGGCAGATAGCACAGTGTACAGTGGATCCTCGCCGACTCCGACTTGTGACCTCGCTTTCGAGGGTGCTCAGTAACCTTATATGTATACAGTCCTCCTTGTTAATCCAGCCACCACTGTCCAGCTATGTTTGGGACAGTATACTGTGTACAGTTGTCCCAACAATGCAGCCACTTTTGCTGGAAAGGTTGCTGGAGAGTCGAGAATCTACTGTAGTACCTAGAGCTGGAGAGTCAAGACACTACTGTAGTACATATTTTATTCCAATTTATTGTTCTGCTATGTATTTTTTCTCCGGAAAACCTAAGTGTCGGGTCACATATTCCACTGCACCATGTGTGGCCAGCTTGACCTCCCCCTTTGTAGTTGTATACTCCTACACCGTTCATAATAAATCACCTTCATCCTCTGCCTAGCAGTCTCCTCATCAACCAGTCGCTCAACATATTCACGAGACAGACATTTTTAACGATCTGGATATATATACCTTCGTTTTATTGTATTATTTCTTCTCTCCGTGACAAATAAAAACCAGTTGGTGCTTTGTTGAATTTGTATGCAACGACAGGTGATTCTCATTACACCGTGTAACCGCTCTTCCATGATTCTCCTATCTAAGAAGTGATATTTATTCTTACATTGTTACCGTCATGTATAGCTCCATGTCAATCATATCCCCAAGATAACTTAATAATGCATTTCTGTGATCGATCATTTTAAATTGCACATAGTATGTGTGCAATATTACAGATTTGAATATTTACAGCATAATCTTGAAATGTCTCAGTGTTAATGTTTGATATGGATATGCTGCCTTCTTTTGTATTTTTGTTCAGTTTTTTATTTGATTTTTTTTTTTCAAGGTTCTTTTTATATATTTTTTCAGTTCCTGACTTAGGCAAAATATCAAAAGTTTCTATACTTGTGAAATAATTGACAATGGTGCTGTTGTTTTGGTTCTTATTATTTTTGTTGTTGTTTTTTCTTGATAAATCTTTTTAAAAGTTTTATATCATGATCAACAGCTAATTTTGTTCATAAAAAATTGTAGAGGTAGGTATTTTAAATAGTAGAAACGTAACAATTGTTAGAATACTCGTAGCTAGGGACCACCTTGACATGATTGAAGGTAGCACATGATCAAAAAGTGGCCTAAATTTTGGACAAGAATTTGTACCTGGTAATAGTTGTATGGCAACCCTCCCCGATAGTAGACAGTTACATTTATTAGTGAGTTACCTCCCCTAATACAGAAGGTTACATGGCGATGAGTTATCTCCCCTTATATAGGTGGTTACATGGTAGTGAGGTATATTGAGGAGAACCATGGTGAGCAGAGGAAGAGTGCCTTATGGCAGAGGATGAACAAATACCATTGGGGGGCTATGCTGTGTTGATATTACCTATGTTTGAATTGTATATTTACCATTTATTCGACTAGTAAATGTGTCATACCTTCCTTTAATAGACAATCTTTTGGAGTTTGTTGAAAAATAATTTATTGGTGAGGGAAAACAGAAGATATTTCCCTCCACTAAAATGATTTTACTTAAATAGATCACAATTTCAAAAACTCTTGAGCCACTTGCAACTGCAGAATTTCATATTATGCAGGTGTTCCGTAACCTAGTAAAAATGAGTATAAAAATATAAACTCAGTATTAATTAGTACAGAAATAATTGCCTTGCCAATTTTTGTTTTAAAAGATTTTTAACCATTTCAATACTTTATGTGTATTTATCAAGCATTTCGAGAACTTGACATGACGTTATGGTTTTAAAGATGAATTCTAGTCAGTGGTAGGTTTATGTGAAGAGCCTTACTTATCTGAGACCAAACCGATGTTTGAAAGGGGCTTCACATTGTGTAATCCTTTAAACTTCCACTGCTAGGCATGTGCTAAGGATGGTAAAATGATAAAAATTACCTAGTCAGGCTAAAAAGCAGTTTCTTGTGAAAGGCTTTAGAAGTGGTGCAGTCGTTGTTATAATCTAAGGATGGTTATATAGTGTGTGGTATATAAGATAAGATCATGCTGTTGTTCATGTATGTGCTAAGTTGCAACAGCCAACTTCGTATTTTCAGTAACAATTTTTTCCAGTATGAGAACAATTTCCTCTGATTATTATTCAAGCCGTTTTTCACAGAAAATTAATGCACATACTGGGTATATAATTTGTTCAAAGATGTAAAATTCTATAGATTGAGAAAGAACATTTGGTGAATTTCATATGATAATTGTACCCTATCTGAATAAGAAAAAAAGCTTGTACCCTATATGAATAAGAAAAAAAGCTTGTACCCTATATGAATAAGAAAAAAAGCTAATGGAAAACAAAAGGCACTGTATAACATTCATTATTGTATATTTTCATATCTTAATTCAGTCTAGTCTGTTAACTTCGAACAAATGTTTGTTAACTTCTGTGTTTTAATGAAGGAGCTTGTTTGCTGTTATGACTGATTATTATATATTGATTTATATAAAACCAACTTGTTCCTAAAATTATTTACATACACAGATAAAATCTCATATCAGTTCAGTTTTAAAGGTTAATGACTGGAAAATATTTTTGCTTTTTTTTTATTTTGGTTTTTTTTTCATTTTATTGACCTTTTCAAGTAATAACTTAGGGAGTGTTATCTGAAGTATGCAAAAAAAAGTGTTTTTCATAGAAACATGTAATGGCATTGAAAAAACACTGATTTGTTCAAAGCTAGTGAGTCCTGCATGGGTCACAGATGTGATACCAGTTTTAACCTAATCCTTTCAGCACTGTAGACCATAATGGACTCCTCCAGATCAATGCATGGCAGAGTCTATTAAAGTTACATAGGGTGGAAAGGACTAAACAAGTGAAGCAGAAATTCTGATTGGAGCACAGTTGAAGCTGCTGTTGAACATTTCAGTGTTTTGAAGGGCCGTGATGTATCTAGGAACCACATATTTGTACAACTGTGAACCAATTCTTCTAACATTCATTTTCATGATACACATGTTACTTTTGTAGAGCTCTTGAATCAGTTCTGTCAGGTGTTGACTTGTAATATGATGGAAGTCTGCAGAATATGAAAAAAATCTTGAAAATATTTCTTTCCTGGTTTTTCAACATTTTATTAGCTAGACATTTTATTAGCTAGTGGTGAAAAGATCAGGGTATTTGGGCACATTCATGAAGATGGATGTCATTAGAAATAAGACTGAGGAACAGTTTTGGAGAAATGAAAGCATGTTTATTTAGTAAAACCCAGTGAGCGAATCAAAGTGTTGGGAGAGAGAGAGTAGTGAACTTTAATGGGGCGGCATTGATGTGTTTTTTTTTAAATTGATAGTTTGGATGTCTGGCTTATGTACTGGTATAGCATGCCACGGCAGTAACACGTTATGGCGTGCTAGCACCAGTGCAGATAAAATATGGAATAAAATGTATCAAAAAGTAAATTTGAAATGTGGTTGTTCAATTCTGAATAAAAGACATGTCAGTTTAATAGGTGTTGTTTTTAGTGTTTTATAAGACTTGGAATCTTGTTGAAAGGACTACTTTAACATGAAGTTAATTTGATGATATTCCTCTTCTAGGTGCTTCAGAAATCAATTGTCATCAAGGATATTCTGTCCATTGTTAAAAGAATAGTGTTTTTAGCTCGCCTTGTCTTATTTAAAGGACTAGACCGGTATATGCCTTAATTAATGTGGTGTCTGTCATTCATCCATCAACAATTTCTTCAAACGACTTATGAACTGCTGATTGGAATTAAACCAAATTTACTTATAAGTATCCCTAGGTGGTGGGGATTCAAACTGAGGGGTGGGGCCAAAAAAAAGGAAATTTGGTCACATTGTTTTGAATGACTAATCTAGACCTATGGGATGGATATCGACCATAAAAAGGTTAATTTGGCTATATTGCTGTGACTTCTCTTGAAATTGATATCAACCATATTAGTTGCAAAGAGTCAAAATCGCACAAAAAGGGGTCCCGCCCCTCGCCCAAAGTGGCTTATTGATTTGTACAAAAGGATTATTTGGCCTTCTCGGGACCCAAGAGATAAATGAATATCGGCCATATTTGTTTGAAACATCAACAGATTGTAGGGATTCAAAAGGACCAGTTAAAATTCAGTCACAGCATGACATAGGGACCAGTCGGTCTTGGAATCGTTTAATACATACGTTGTGTAGAAAGTAAAACTTTGATATTGCAAATTAAAGGGTTGAGGGACGGGGCCAAAACCTAAATTAATAACTTGGAAATGGTTTATACAATTGTTGAGACAGATACACATGCTACCAGAATTGGCCTTGGAGTGCACTCTTGGGTCTTAAACCCTCCGTCATAACATGGAAATGCATTTGAGATCACCACCCCATATAGCCCGAGTTTCCTCTGGCCCTAACACCAGATTTTGACATATAGTATCTATTGTGGGACCAGACACCTATAAGTCGAAATGTCGAGTGTTGGGGCCAGAGGAAACTCTGGCTACACCCCATAATATATGTAATTACTGGTTATAGTGTTAATCATCCTCGATATCCAGGGGTTACGCTCACTTATGCTCTCTGCACCCCTGCCCCTGGTATATGTCATTGCAAAATTGAAGGCACAAAGATAGCTGTTTGATTGGTTTCAACCAAAAAAACGACCAATCGCTAGGGTGATGCCTGTCCTTTGAAAATTACAAAGGAGTGACACCTGACTTCAAAGCCAGTCAATTTTTAGCTCGCCTTACCGTCCGGTGTCAACTTTTTACTTTAAACAACTTCTTCTGAATAACCAGAAGGCCCAGGATGATGATATTTGGCCAATAACATGCTAGGATGAAGCACTACCAAAGTTTGTGCAAATGAATGACCTCCGCCCATATTCAAGGTCAAATATGTTTAAACTTTTAAACAATTTCTTCTAAATAACGAAGAGGCCCAGGCTTATGATATTTGGCCAGTAGTATGCTTGGATAAAGGGCTACCAAGTTGGTTCAAATGAATGACCTTCACCCATATACAAGGTCACAGGGGTCAAATATGTTGAAATATTTAAACAACTTCTTCTGAATAACCAAAAGCTTCAGGCTGATGAAATTTGGCCAGTAGCATGCAGGGCTGCCAATTTTGTTCAAACGAATGACCTTTGCCCCTATTCAAGGTCAGGGGGATCAATTGTCTTAAAAAACTTTAAACATCTTCTTCTGTAAAACCGAAAGGTCCAGGGTGATGATATTTGGTCAGAAGGATGTTAGGATGAAGGGCTACAAAGTTTGTTCAAATGTATGACCTTTGCCCATATTCAAGGTCACATGGGCCAATTGTCTTAAAAACCTTTAAACGACTTATTCTGAATTACCAAAACGTCTAAGGTGATAATATTGGGTCAGTAGTATGCTGGGATGAAGGTCTACCAAAGGTAGGGTCAACGCATATGCTAATTTAACATTAGCATCGGCCCCCGCTTGTATTTTCAAGACAAGATAAATCCAAAAAGGTATTGGTATAGGAAGCTTAAATCAGGAACCGTTAGTTTCAGAATTCTTTTTAGGATAAATGGGACCTCATTGACTTACACCTGTGTTGGTGTTAATGGTGCGGTAATACAATTCCCGCTAGAGCGATTAAATGACAACATATTCCAACTGTTATTTTGATACCGAATATTACACTTTTTCAAGAAATATTGTTCTTTTTATTGAAGATTTAAGCAGAAAAGTTATGTGAAAATTCATTACTAATGTGAAATTTTCCATTTTCGACACGTTAATTTACATAGTTCTAAAACGAGTCCATTTTTCATACTTGCTTAAAAGTTGGCTACCAATGATATCTTTCAACATCAGGAATTTCAAGAAAATTGACAACCGGTAAATTTGTCATAGAAAACTTTTGATTAAACAAAAGAAAAACATAGCTTTCTTTCCACATTTCCTTTAATTTGTGTTTCTTCATGACCAAAAGTCCTTGGGTCTCGATATTTGGCAAGTAGGTTGTAATGTTCATGTGAATGAATTTAAATTGTGTAAACGTTCATGACCTTGACCTTCGTTCAAGGTCACAAAATTCAAATGTGCTGAAATTTTTTTTTGTATGGGGAGTCAAACAAGGATACCTTTGCTTGCTTTATTTGTTTAGAGTTAATGATATAAAATAATGTAATATTCCTCAACAAATAAAAAAATAACTAGAGCTGTAAGCCAAAGACTAACGAATACCCCCGCTCCTATATAAACCAGAACTGTAAGCAGTCCATAGCCCCCCCCNAATCTTGTTAGCCCAGATGAACCAGTTTTGCTGAAGTCGCCCTAGTAGTTAAGGAAGAGTTGTCAAGACAAAGATTTTTAACAACCGGCCATAACTCCTTAAAAATTGTCGAAATGAAAAAGTACTACCCTGATGCACAACGTAATTACCATATCTGTAAACATTCATTGAAATCAGCCCAGTAGTTGATGAGGCAGACAAAGGTTCTTCTTCTACAAAGGGCCATAACTACTTTTTAAAGGTTCGGAATGAAAACATACTATTTGGATGCACTATGACAGGGGGCAGTTACCATATCTGTAAACTTTCGTTGAAAATGGCTCCATAGTTTTGGATGAGTTGTCAGGACAAGTATTTTTCAACAAAGGGCCATTTCTCCGTAAAAAAAGGTCAGACTGAAAAAATAATACCTGAATGCACACCATTAGCTATTAGGTGGAAGTTATCATATCTGAAAACTTTCGCTGAAATTGACCCCTTAGTTTTGGAGGACATGTCCGGACAAGAACTTTTCAACAACTTTGCAAAAAAAAAAAGGATCAGAATGAAAACATAATACCTGGATGCATAACTTGAGGTGGTAGTTATCATATCTGGAAACTTTCGCTGAAATTGGTCCATTACTTTGCAAGGAGTTGTCCGGACAATCTTTTTCTACGGACGGACAGACGGACAGACAAGCTGATTCCAGTATACCCCTTACTTTGTTGCAGGGGGTATAATAAAGTGTATAATAGTTATACTATTAAGATTATTTTATTGTTTTTATATAATTGCATATCTTTGTCGAAAACACAATCTCAACCTTAAGTAGTTCTACAGAGGAAAGATTACTTTGGCAGAATACATATATTAATGAGTTATGATTGCTGCACATAACTTTAAAACATGTGTAATAAAATGAAGTGTTTTGCTATGATACAAAAACACAAAATGTATCGGTATTTACCATAATAAACATTGATAATCAAAACTTCAAGATTATGTGAAATTTGGCACTGATCATGTCTGGCATGCAAATAAAGTACTTAACCGGTTTTTATATTACATAATAATGAATCAGTAGACAGAATACATATATGGAAAGTTTTTAAAGAAGTTTAAAATATAGATTACCACTGTAACTATATATAGCCAAGTTGACAGTGTTGATTACATTTTAAATGTTGTTTTTTTTCTAATTAAAAGTATCACTACGCTTACTTCATGTATAACAATATGACATATTCAAAATAACAGTAATTTTATACACTGTACACTATCATAATTCATTTTCAAAATAACATTCGCCTGGACATGTATCTGTCATTTTGTTAGGATAACCCCGTCACTCAACCTGGTGTTATACAAGGAGGTCCACTACGTAATTATGAATAATCATTTATGCAGTTATTGATAATTTCTATGTATCTGCATATGGCAAAAAAAAATAAAAAATAAAAATGAAAGTGGGGGCCAAATGTTGACCCCACCTTTGTTCAAACAAATGACCTTTGCCCGTTTTCAAGGTCACATGGATCAAATATGTTAAAATCTTTCAACAACCTCTTCTGATTAACCAGAAGGCCCAGGTTGATGCTATTTGGCCAAATACATGCTGGGATGAAGCACTAGCAAGTTTGTTCAAATGAATTACCTTTGCCCATATTCAAGGTCACAGGGGTCAAATATTATGAAATATTTAAACAACTTCTGAATAACCAAAAGCTCCAGGGTGATGATATTTGGCCATAAGGATGTTGGCATGAAAGGCTACGAATTTTGTTCAAGTGAATGATCTTCGTCCATATTCAATGTCACATGGGTCAAATCAGGTTCTTCTGAATGATTAAAGTCAAGACACTTCCACTTTTAAAGTGTACACTGAACGTTTTGATGTATCAAGCTATGAAAATACTTCATATTATACGATAAAAGACTTAAGAAAGTGCGAACGTCGTAGTTGTATTTGAAAAACACACCTTTGGCTCAGCTGCGAATGCCTCGATATGGGTAGCTCACATCTGTGACTGTAGCTCAAGTGACCTATTTCTATCCGTCTTCGTCCGTCGTGCGTCGTTCGTTAACATTTTACATTTTCAACTTAAGCTGAAATACTGGCAAAGGGATTTCATTAATATTTCATGGGAAGGTTACTGACATCTCCCTGACCAAGTGTTGTTATTTTTCGGGTCGATCAGAAATCCAATATGGCCGCCATTTTGAAAAACTATTTCAAACTTAAAGTTAAGTTCTG